AAAAAAAAAAAAAAAAATCTCTTCTCCTCAATCTCTCTCTCTCACACACACACAAAGGCAACTTTAGTGTAAGAAACCAAACACTAATTCATAAAACTTGGGAGAAAACTACCTTAAGGTTTAAAGACATTTATTCCCTCCTCCCCTAGATTAAGGTGTTCCAAAGCCCTGGAAGCAGTGAAACAGAAATACTGGTTATGATCTATACCATGTAAGAAATTCATATGGCCCTCATATTTGACACCGATGAAAAGTTCTAATTTTGAAAAAATGTACTTTAAGTTCCCCAAAGACTAACCATTAAAAGCTCATGTTCCTAAAAGCACCTGTACCAAGTTTTAGCGAACTGATACCGAGAAGTCCAAGGGGGAAGAAGTCTTCAATGAGAAACTCAACGAATTCTCAGAAATATGCTACTGCTGCTTTTGACATTTCCTTTTAAGAATTTTTATAACATTCTATAGAAGTAACATAACACATATGATGTTCTATAGTATTGAACTACAAGTAAAAATCAGTATGGAGCTTTCCAGAATGACAGCCCTCATGATAATTAACTTAAAGCTTGGTGAGAAAGGGTCACGCCTTAATTTCCTGTTGCTACATTCTTGTTTGCACGGGAAGCAGGATTAAATGCATCAACACTGAGAACCCAAGTCTTCTGATAAGTGTCCCGTGAATAACCTAGAAAAGTATGTCCCATTTACCACAAATACAAACAAAACCCCAAAACCCATGATTTGAAACAATCCAAGATGGACAAATATGGGGCATGAGTTCCACTTGAGCCAGCCAGCCTATCAGTTCAAGCAATTTCATTGCTGCTACTAGGACTTGGCCTCACCGCTGCACAGGCTCTCACAGGTATCCATTGTCTGCCTGTATCAAGCAGTTATGAGTACTTCTAAAGGACAAAACATTACCTCGCAGCTCTACCGTGATCATTTATTTCCTACTGATTTTTGGATAAATCAAGCTCACACCTACCATTCTTATATTTGTCTTTCATTATTTTTTTTAAAGTTTTTTTTGTTGTTATTGTTTTGTTTTGATTTTGAGAGAGAGCACGTGCATGATAAGGAGAGGGGAAGAGAGAGTGGGGGAGAGGGAAAGAATCCCAACCAGGCTCCACGCTTGCAGTGCAGAGCCTGACGTGGGGCTTGATTTGACAAACCATGAGATGATGACTGGAGCCAACATCAAGAGTCTGATCCTTAACAGACTGAGCCATCCAGGTATCCCCCGTCTTTCATTATTAAAGGAACTGTTTTGTCTTTCACTAGATAACATGCCGAAAAAGAAAAAAAGCACATATGGAGGATAAACAACAGTAGGCCTTAATTTAAATGCTCCTTTGTCAGGGCACCTGGGTGGCTCAGTCGGTTAAGCATCCAACTTTGGCTCAGGTCATGATCTCGTGGTTTTTTAGTTCAAGCCCCGCATTGGGCTCTGTGCTGGCAGCTCAGAGCCTGGAGCCTGCTTCAGATTCTGTATCCCCTTCTCTCTCTGCCCCTCCCCCACTCATGCTCTGTCTCTTTCAAAAATAAACAAACATTAAAAAAATTTTAATAAAAAAAAAATAAATGCTCAAATTTGTCAGGGCACCTGGGTGGCTCAGTTGGTTAAGCTTTGGACTTCAGCTCAGGTCATGAGTACATGGTTTGTGAGTTCATGCCCTGTGTTGGGCTCTGCACGGACAGCTCAGAGCCTGCCTGGGATTCTTTCTCCCTCTCTCTCTGCCCCACAACCCCCCCCCCCAATAAATAAACATTTTTAATAAATAAATGCTCCTTTGTCTAGTCAGAAATGCTCCAGCCAAAAAGAACAGAGGCTAGTCTGTTACTATGTCCCCTTAGTCTGTAATGAAGTAATAAGTACAGGAACTGAGAGGCTTTAGAAACTTATACAGGATTGACTGAGAAAGCTTTTGCTTGTTGAATCTAATGACTGAAAAACGGGACTTTAAACAAACACTTCACCATAATACACATCTAATATACTCCTGACTTGTCTTTCTTCTTTGGCAAATCAACAAGGCACTGAACAGATACCTACGTCAGGATAAATGATAAAGTGGTTCATTACGAGGGTGAAAGAATCAGAACAGCAAGAGATGCAGCAGACTAACTTGCCTAAAGGCAGGAAAGACTTGTACCTAAATTCTGCGGACCTACTCCCTCTGCTGCAGATTTCCCACTGCTCCCTTTAGCCATCCCTAGGTTTAGTTCTCTAAGAGAGAACGGCAACCTTCCTTATATCCAAACCAAATCTATCTTAAACCAAGCAGAATAGCTTGGCTTCGAAGTAAATTTGGCAACAGAATCGGGGTTGACCTCTACTCCCCCAGATGGATCTTGAATCATTGTGCCCCTTGTCATTTCATGACAATTTCATGAGTGTGCTACTCACCTGAAGAATCTGAAAAAAAAAACGAGCTGGGAGAGAACTACTAGTAGCACGTCAAGTGACACATTTTTTTTTTTATAATTCCATCAAGGCCCTCTCATCCTTCTCCAGGCTTCCCAAATTCGTAACTATATCCATTGCCCAAAAGCAGTGACTAAGGATTAGCTAATTCTTGCTAAGTAAGGTCTGCTAGTGGAAGTATTTCAGAATATGAAAAGCAGCAGAACTGAAAAGACTTCAAGATTTTTTTTTTTTTAAACTCCGGAAGAGTCTTTTCAGACAGAACACACTGGACATGAACAATAACTAATACATCTTCAATCCAGTGAGAAAGTGATTTGTTCATGGAGGAAGAACCCAGGTAACGCTCACAAAGGCCCAATAGACTCTCTTCCCACCGTGCCCATCAAGAAACGCTGTCTGTGGGGCACGTGGGTGGCTCAGTCGGTTAAGCATCAGACTTCGGCTCAGGTCATGATCTTGCAGTCTGTGAGTTCGAGCCCCGTCTGCGTCGGGCTCTGTGCTGACAGCTCAGAGCCTGGAGCCTGCTTTGGATTCTGTGTCTCCCTCTCTCTCTGCCCCTCCCCCGTTCAGGCTCTGTCTCTCTCTGTCTCAAAAATAAATAAACGTTAAAAAAAAATTTTTTTTTAAAAGAAAGAAGCGCTGTGTGAGAGGGCAGAAGAGGAGTCTGGTTCCTCAACACTTGTTTCACGGGAAGACTGCCTCACAAAATGTAATGGTCTTCCTTCCGGACCGACCAGAGGGCCTTCTGACTGCTGCATTTCACCGAGTCAACTTTCACCCGATTCCTGCTGCCCGACACACTTACGCCTTTCGTTACATGCAATAGTCATTCTCTGGCACTTGTTAAGGAAGTGCCAATAAATACTTCAAAGACTTAACATCATTAAAGAAATGATTATAGCTCATTTCCACATATAATTGGTAACATGGATGAAAATTTATATCTGCCTCCTAAATCATCAGCCACGAGATCACAGAGTTGCCGACGTCTTGCTGAATAAGCACCTCAGTGTAAAATCAAAGTTTGTAAATTAAATGCTGTGTGCCAAGCTTGAAATGCCAGAGCCTTTTACTAAAAAGCTCTCATTAACAGGAACACCCACCAGCCCAACTACTGCACACCTATCTGTGAAGGACTCTCCATTTTTCCTTTCTTGTGCATTCCCGGCCTTGCTCTCACTGCGGCGGACGCACATGTGGCCATGTTTGCTAACTTCCCAGTTTTGTGTTTCTTTGCTCTCCACCCAGGGTATGCTGTGCTGGCCCTTGGGGCAAAGCCAGGTTTCACTCCCCAAGACACTATTTCAAGAAAAATTCCGCTCTATTCTAAAACCATTTACAGAACCAGAAATGTGTACTTCAGAAGGACTCACCATGAATGTCGCCTTCTCCCTGGAAAAGAAAAGAAAATTTTACTTCAGATTTTAATTTTGTAACAAATAAAGCAGTCACAGTTCTGAGAGGCTACTATTTGAAACCAAACGTGGAAGCTCATTTTGATGCAGTCAAGTTCAGGGTCAGGCCACAACACAATTACATTACAACAATTATATTACAGTATAACTGACTTTGGGACAATGCTATACAAAACTGCTGCATGACAAATTGCCCCGGTGCCAGCAATACCCAACACACCAAAAAAACCTTAACATTTACACCGATGGCCTAATATCAATTAGCATTTCAGAGGATCTTTTATCAGAATGTGAAACTGGTAAGTTTATTTTTCCATGCTCCCTTTCCTTTTTCCTTATCTAGCTGTTGAGGGGCCTCTATAAATTCCAAAGTCCATTAAGAGGGTTCCACACTGGGATGGCTGACACCACTGTGTGCTCAGAGGGCCCTACTTAGGAGGCCACCCTACCAGGCTTCCAGACACCTGCCTGGGGACATTGGGATCATGTTCCTCTGCAGACAACTGATGATAACACCCAGGCTGCAGTCTCCTCGAGTTCAGCTCAGAACAACTGGGCAACGTTCATCAGGTCTTTGACCTCACACACACTACTATATACGACTTAGGTAGGAAGTGTGATCCAGAAGTTCCCAAAATCGATAGTGAAAAGAGAGAGACTGATCCAACTGGTAGAAGAGGCATGTGAACCAACCCAGATCATGTCACTTCAGTTTTCTGACTTTTCTCTTTATGGATCTTCCAGCACCAGTATGGCCTCAGGCCCTTCCCTAGTCACCTCTATGTAAGGCTCTAGTGACAGAACTGAAGCTCTTATTACAACAGGAAGGAAGTCAATTTCCAAACCGGATTAACCTCAAAGCCTTTCTTTCCCCCCCAACCCTGTGTTGTCACACTGACCTTCAGATCTAAGAAGTCTCCAGAGTTTGCTTCAGAAGAGTTCCTTCTCTGGGGTCCAGATGACTCAGAATCCTCTCTGCCACCACTAGACTTGGCACCTGAATTAAAACATACTTCCTTAAGGACTATGACAGAAAGACCGAAAGCAAAACACTTCTTTTGTGAATGATGTTCATGTTAGTCTTGTATCAAAAAATGAGCAAACAGGTTAAGTGAGAGCTTAAAAATTCTACAGAGGAACCAAATAGCCCAATTTGACTTCAATCCCTATTCTGACCCCTCTCCCAGGCTTTCCTCCAGTGACAAGACTTAACTGTTGTTGATCTCATTATGGTTGGGCTAGATTTTGCTCCTCAGCACAAAACCAACTGTAGTTATTCATGCTGGGTCTGTACCTTTGATCAGTGGTCACACATATAAGCAGTACCTGCTGACTTGGCCCATGAAGGGGGGTTTTCCTCAGGTGTCCCAAAGATGCTAGAGGCCATTTTGTTCCTCCTCACGGGTTGTTCTGTTGGTTCATCAAAGCCTAATGAAAAATTGGATCCACCACCTGGAGGCCGCAAAACCCTTGGGAGTAATGGCAAAAAACATCCATTTCAGATCATGCCAAAACATTTCTCAGCATAAATGTTTTCAAACACCTTTCAAATTCATTTCCCTCACCCATTCATTCCTCCTACCCACCCACCCACCCACCCACCCCACCCCCTCCAAGAGAGAGCTGCTAATGGGAAAAGGGAACTGATTCTGTTGTGGTATAAAGTCAACACTGGATCACATCAGTCAGAATGCCTAGTAGCAGACAGACAAGAAGTAAGTGTTGACAAGGATGTGGAGAGAAAGGAACCCTTGTGCACTGCTGGTGGGAATGTAAACTGGTGCAGCCACTGTGGAAAACAGTATGGAGTTTCCTGAAAAAATTAATAACCGAAATCCCATATGATCTAGTAATGCTACTTTTGGATATCTACCCAAAGAAAACAAAAACACTAATTTGAAAAGATATATACACCCCTACATTTACTGCGGCCTTATTTACAATAGCCAAGATATGGAAGCAACCTACCTGTCAACTGATAGATGAATGGATAAAGAAAATGGATATTACTCAGCTCAGCCATAAAAAAGAATGAAACCCTGCCATTTCAGACAACATGGTCGGATGTACAGGGTATGATGCTAAATGAAATAAGTCAGACAGAAACAGTCAAATACTACATGATTTCACTTATATGTGGAACCTAAAAAAACCAAATGAACAAACAAAAAAAACAGAAATGGGGCGCCTGGGTGACTTAGTCGGTTAAGTGTTGACTTCAGCTCAGGTCATGATCTCACAGTTTGTGTGAGCCCTGAATCGGGCTCTGCGCTGACAGCACAGAGCCTGCTTTGGCTTCTCCGTCTCCCTCTCTCTCTGCCCCTCCCCCACATGCACGCACTCCCGCTCACTCTCTCTCTCTGTCTCTCAAAAATAAACAAAACATTAAAAAACAAAACCAGAAACAATCACAAACACAGAGAAAAAACTGGTGGATGCCAGAAGGGAGACAGGTAGGAAGGTGGGTGAACCAGGTAAAGGGGATTAAGAAATACAGATTTCCAGTTATAAAATAAGTACATCATGGGGCTGAAAAGTACAGCATGGGGAATACAGTCAAGAATATAATAAATTTGTATGAGGACTGCATTTATCGTGGTTAGCATTTCATAAATGTATAGAATTGTCGAATCACTATGTTGTACACCTGAGACTAATAGATTATTCTCAATTAAAAAACTGAAAGTTTTTGGGGCGCCTGGGTGGCGCAGTCGGTTAAGCGTCCAACTTCAGCCAGGTCACGATCTCGCGGTCCGTGAGTTCGAGCCCCACGTCAGGCTCTGGGCTGATGGCTCAGAGCCTGGAGCCTGTTTCCGATTCTGTGTCTCCCTCTCTCTGTGCCCCTCCCCCGTTCATGCTCTGTCTCTCTCCCAAAAATAAATAAACGTTGAAAAAAAAAATTAAAAAAAAAAATAAAAAACTGAAAGTTTTTAAAAATTCAACACTGGATGTTAAGATACAAAATGCTGTTTTATAATATTTGTAGTAAGGACTTCTGACATGAAGACAGCTAAAAAAGCCTGAAAAGTTATCACAAATAACAGCCTGGCTGACGTCCCCTTTTAGATAATGGCAAAAGACCTAACAGACCTTGCCTAATAGGATCAGCTGGATGTATTTGCAAAAAAGTTTAGAAGCATATCTTGTTATTTATTCAGAAAGCATTTCCATTTTTATTTTCAACAAAATTAAAAATGGAAGATTATACATATAAAAGTTAAGTTGACCAATTTAGAAGCCCATGGAGAGCGATACTAGTCTCTTTCTATCTAGCCATCGCCAGCGAGCCCCATTTATACACTTGCACCACAGTATTCTCACTAGTAAACATGAACAATTAGCCACAAGGAGGAAGTCCGTATGAGAAACTGGCGTTAAGATTCACAGAATGTTCGATAACCAGGCACCTTTGGACTCTATAGCTTTCGGTTCAGCAAGGAAACCCAGCACTTGTCCATTTCCAAAGCTTCCTGCTTGGCTTGACCAACGTGTCCCATCCCTGGAAGAACTCAATTTAACTTGTCCTGTCACTGCTCAAAACATAGAAAATGGAGATGGTTTTATGGAAGGAAAGATTTTCT